GTTTTGTGGTTAAGCATGCTGGGAATGGGTCCTGGATGTTGGCCCGTATATAAGAATTAAAATTTTCTATCAGGGCTGTGGAGTCAGCACATTAAAACCTTCGACTCCAACTCCTTTATTCATGGTGACTCTGACTCCTTTAATTATATATCGATATAGGAAATAAATTATGAATATACTAATTATATATTTCCTATATCGACTGTAAGCACACAACATACAAGGCATTTCATCACTGCCAACATGAATCAGAACCCTAACCTGTTAAAGCTTGGGTCTAAAGGCTATAGCTAAGACATTCTGTTTTTTAAAATTTTATTTATTAAATAAATTACAAACATTCAGTAATCTTATAGTTTAAACAAAGGATAAAAGCTAAAAAATAAAAACAGTGAGGTTATATTTTCATCAAAAGACTATAGAGTATAAAGTAATAGGATATAAAAGAAAGAAGCTAGAAAAGAAAATCAGGAACAACTTTCAAAAATCTAAAGTATATCTTGATATTACTAAAAAGAATTCAAAGTCAAAACTACAAAAAAGTAAAAAACAATTGAACACCTAAAGCAACTTAACAAATGACCGCTTTAAAAGAAATGAACTCAATTAGGTACATAAGTAACATAAACTTTCTTTTTCAAGATTAAAGTATTGCTTGAATATAAAACATTACATTTAATGAAATAAAAATTATATTGTAGAAGATTGTTGAAGACTAACATATTGTTCTTAGAAACAGAATTGCTTCTGCCAAATCTTCCCTCACAGAAGCCCTTAAATCTGATTTGACTATTTTCAGCGCTGAAAACAGTCTTTCAACACTTGACTTGGGTGGGTGGCGTTGCTGTTGCAGTTCTAGCTATATTACTAATAACCTCTGGATAAACAAGATGGCTTCTTCTATAGCCAGTTTTGATGAGCAGTCTTACTTTTCCACTTCCTTTAATCCTTAAAAAAATTCTTGCTGAAATTTCTTTCTTTGGAGATTTATTGTTTGTTTTTCCATGCTTAAGTGGTGTCACTTTGAACATTCCATTCTGTCCAAGTAGGCTTCAAACTCTTAATTCTTCATTTGAAGAGGATGATTCTGAGTTACCAATGCTTCTAGCTTCTTCCAGTGGTTCAGGTGTTTCCGGTAGTACTTGTAACTCTTTCATGCAAACTGCTACTTCATAGAGTGCCTGTTTTCCTGTAGCGACTTAGTCATTGCTCAATAAAAGTTGGTTCATTGGATCAATGTAAATAGTAGCTAACAGGATTTGATTATCCAGCAAGAGACCCTTCCTTTTCTTCATTGAAGATACAATGCCATCAGCAATTAATCCTCTTCTTTTGTTCAGGAGATACAAGCTTTTCCACTGCAGCAAGAATTTACCAGGTGTTAAATCCTCAGATTGCAACTTCTTGGTGACAGTAAGAGGGTGAGAAAATAGACTTTCTAAATCTGTCACTTGCACCCACTGGCTTTCAGTTAGTGAAACATTTATGTTGTCCAGATCTTCAAGAAAGTCTTAGTTCAAGCAAACACTTTATCATCAAATAAGTGCTTCCCCAGCATGTTGCTTCATCCAGAATGGCTCCTTTTCCAGTACGTCTCTGCAGAGTAGCATCTGTTTTAGGGGTCCTGGCGGCAACAGCTACTTGCCTCAACTTGCCAATGAGAGTAGCTGCATGATGATCTTTCAGTCCATCTCTTATTGCTAGTTGCAGTGTATGTAACAGCACAACACATACAGTATGTTGAATTGTAATAAGCTTAGATGCTGCTTCAGCAGTATCATCTAAAGTTTGAGTTTCACTGCTCTCCTCTATTTGTACTGTTTGTGGATTACTTGCAGGAATGGATCTTCATCTTCTAATATTTATGTGCTTTCTTTGTCAACTTTATTCATTTTCTCAATTGTGCTTAACATATTTGAAGCATTATCTGTTATAGTACATAGAACCTGTTCCCTTTTAATTTCAAAATCTTCCAAAACATCTTCCACTAACTTTTGAAGATATTCGCTGGTATGATGTGCATGGGTGTCCTTTATTCTTAATGTCCGAGTTATTTTATTGCTTTCATCAACAAATCTAACATTAATAGCGAAATAATTGACTCT